CATTTTAAGCAGTTTCCTCAATCAATTCAAATCTTTTTTTAGAATCCAGATGGACAGCTAGACAGAGACAGCATTTGGTTGTTGCTGCTATACAGCAATATATAAAAAAATAAGGCTCGTTCCAGGGATATCCTTAACCTGCACAACTTGCTAAGGAGTAGGTTATAACAGGTTCTGTGTTAGAGCATTAGCATTTTCTCTACCTTCTTATGACAGACAATGACCATTCTTAGTAGGAAAATGCTGGAGATTTTGAATAATAGCGTTGACAGTTAATTGAATTGTGTGTATGATTTTGCGCAGTTCATATTTGCTTTAGAGTGACTTACCTGGAAATAAATCTCATTGAACTTATTTCTGAGTAGATAGCATCATGCAGTTAAGGCAGTATCCAGATCGCCAGTTTTACACAAATTGCATTAACAGCAGTGCTGACCTAATAATAATAATAATAATAATAATAATAATAATAATAATAATGATGTATTATTTTATACCCCGCCCATCTGGCCGGGTTTCCCCAGCTGCTCTGGGCAGCTCCCAACAAAATATTAAAAACACGATAAAACATCAGTCATTAAAAACATCCCTAAACAGGGATGTCAGATGTCTTCTAAAAGTCAGATAGTTGTTTATTTCCTTGGCATCTGATGGGAGGGCGTTCCACAGGGTGGGAGCCACTACCAAGAAGGCCCTCTGCCTGGTTCCCTGTAGCCTCACTTCTCACAGGAAGGGAACCGCCAGAAGGCCCTTAGAGCTGGACCTCAGTGTTCAGGCTGAACGATGCGGGTAGAGATGCTCCTTCAGGTATACTGGGCCGAGGTCATTTAGGGCTTTAAAGGTCAGCACCAACACTTTGAATTGTGCTCGGAAACGTACTGGGAGCCAATATAGGTCTCACTGCTGCTCTGCCACAGCCCCACTCAGATAAGCATCAGCAATCCTGGGACTAGGGGTGGGGTAGCTGCATCCCACCTATTGCATCACTACTGATAGATCACTTATCTCCTAGTCCTCCATAGGGACTAAGTTCCGAGAGCAATAAAAGCTCCCACCTTTTCTAAACAAGTGCCTCCTTAAACCGCAGAATCCTCTAATGATGATATCCAGCTATTTAAATAATACCCTGCTTCATAATATTTTTTCAATAGTCTTTTCATTAAGGCATCTGGGTGCAAAGACTTATTGCAGTGCACAGCTACAAAGGAATTTCTCTCTCCCTTTGATAAGCAGCCACCCCTTTTTAATGCCACTTTGATTAATTCCCTTTCCCTTTCTCTGCACCTCCACTGCAGTACCAGCCCCCCCCCCCCGCCACCCTCCCCGGTCAGTGCCAAATAAACTAAAGCACTAATACATTCAAGTCCAGAATCTCAAGGCCAATTGCCAAGGGTTTAATTATATTCTTCTGGCAAATGACCATTGTTTGCTCTTTAAAAAGTCAAGCCTTACTGGCTGCCAACTCTGCCGCTCCAGTCAGCTGAGGAGGGAGGCTTTGAAGTGTTGCAAAAGTCTTTTATTTTTGCAGAACCAGGAGGTAAGCGTAGAGCTACTTGTAGGCTGTGAGCACGAACAGATCTCGGAGGTAAGGGAGGGATGACTTGTGACCTCATCTAACTGACTGGAAGACTTCAAATGAAATTGGCACACAGTCCAACAGGACACTAAAAAAACCAACAACCAAAAAACCACCCGTCTTTTGGCAACATTGTTCTGGGGAAAGTTACCTCAGATTATCAAATCCTCTGCAAGTTTTGATGTCTGTCCTTGTTCTCAGTGCCAGAGAAGTTAGAGGGAGGATGTTACAGATTGCTCTTTAGAGAGGAGGTATAGTCATACCTCATGTTACGTTTGCTTCAGGATACAGTGGTGCCCCGCAAGACGAATGCCTCGCAAGACGGAAAACCCGCTAGACGAAAGGGTTTTCCGTCACGGAGGCGCTTCACAAGACGAAGTTCCCTATGGGCTTGCTTCGCAAGACGAAAACGTCTCGCGAGTCTCGCCATTTCCCCCCCCGCTTTCCCCCCTTTTCAAAGCGGCTAAGCTGTTAATAGCCTTTTAACAGCTTAGCCGCTAAGCCCGCTAAGCCGCTAATAGCGCTAAATCGCTAATAGCGCTAATCCGCTTAGCGCCAATGGGTTGCTTCGCAAGACAAAAAAACCGCTAGAAGAAAAGAATCGCGGAACGGATTTTTTCGTCTTGCGAGGCACCACTGTACGTTTTTCAGGTTGCGTCCCGCAGTGGCCCAGAAGTACCGGAAAGGTTACTTCTGGGTTTCGCACTCGCACATTGCGCAGAAGCAGCAAATCGCGACCCACGCGTCCACAGACGCACTGCTGCAGGTTGTGTTCTATTCATGTTGCAAACAGGCCTCTGGAACGGATCCCGTTCGCAACCAGAGGTACCATTGTATTCCTCCTTCTAACAGAAGACTTTGATGGTGAGTGCTGCTGGGATTTTGCAGCCAAAATGGGGCCATTAAGAAACAAGAGAGAGGCCAAGGCATGCTGTGGGGATTCAAGGTTTACAGAAGAGCAGCGAAGTGTGTAAAGTTATGCATACATATTATTGAGAAAGTGGGCAGAGAGAAGTTTTAGCTCAGGGATATCTGATGAAGCTGAATGTCTGAAGAGTCAGAACAGACAAAAGGAATATTTCTTCACACAGGGCCTAGTTAAACTGTGGAATTTGTACTCACAGGAGGCAGTAATGGCAACAACTTTAGAAGAGGTTTAGAAGAGGATTAGACAAATTTATGGAGAATAAGGCTATCTGTGGCTGCTGGCCAGTGCTCTGCCTCCATTGTCAGAGGTAGCATCCTTCTGAATAGTGGGGTGCAGGTGGCACTGCGGTCTAAAGCACTGAGCCTCTTGGGCTTGCCGATCAGAAGGTCAGTGGTTCGAATCCCCACGACAGGGTGAGCTCCTGTTACTCTGGCCCAACTCCTGCCAACCTAGCAGTTCGAAAGCATGCCAGTGCAAGTAGATGAAGTAGATAGGTACCGCTGCAGCAGGCAGGTAAACGCCGTTTCCATGCGCTCTGGTTTCTGTCATGATGTTCTGTTGCGCCAGAAGCGGTTCAGTCATGCTGGCCACATGACCCAGGAAGCTGTCTGTGGACAAACCGTTAACTCCCTCCTACTAACACACTTAAAAGACCATAGAGTGACACGGGAACTGAGGCCATTGTCTCTGAACTGGATCTTGTGCCAATGAGACATTGCCAATTTGCACCTGCAGCTCAAACATGAGACAAAAAACTGCATTGTATCTCATCTCAATAGCTGTGTTGTTTCATTGAACCCAAGGATCTCCCACCACACTGAAAAGAGCTGGTCAGTTAAACCTTTGCCAATAACCCACCCTTGAATGACAATAGTTACCACTGCTGGGGGGGGGGACACGTGTCCAACATTGCATTTTAGTGGGTATTTAAGTGCCATTTAAAATATAGGTTAGATTGCTGTAAATATGTGGGGCTGCCTCTGAAGATGTTTCGGAAACTTCGGCTGGTAAAGAATTTGGCAGCCAGATTGCTCACCAGGACATATGATCCTTGGATGAAGGGGGGGGTATATAAATATAATAAATAAATGAAATGAAATATATTGCTTTTGTCATGTCAAGCTTGTGCTTATTTAAGCAGATGCATGGGAAAGGTGAGAAATTCCCAGAGCTCTGTTGCTTTTCACAGGGAGCTTTGTCCAGTTCAAACTTTTTCCTCCATGTGATATTTATGGCAGCTTTTCCTGGAAAGCAATTGTTTTCAGTCCATAAAGCCTGGGCCACATGCTTTCTCTCAACATTGAATTGGCTCCTGCCCAGTGTGTGGCTGATAGAAAAACCATTCTGTGGGTGTGCCCCATGTAAGCAAATTAAGTCTGATTCTCTGTGTGCTTTCTCAGAAATTAATCCCACTCACTATCTATAGAAGGTTGGAATTGAAGTTGGTAGTGAGGCTGACAGCTAAGAAGCAAAATATAATGGGCTAATACAATAGGAGATTAAATATGGTCCTGGGCAGCATGTTTAATGTTATTTCTGAAAGCTTTGTGATGGCATCTGCCAAGCTCCTCTGGTCTGCAACCTTCATTTGTTGCGTTGGGACTTGGACAGAATGATCCCAGGATTTGAATAGCATGTTACAGTGATATAGTTGCCACCTGAAAGCCAAAACCTTATTTGAGTGTGTTGAGTCATTTAAATGTATGCAGGCCTATGTTTATTGACTAAGATTGAGGCCAAGCTAAAAACTAGCGCTCGACCTTGAACTTGGCCTGGAATCTTTTGAATGAGCATAGCTCCGTCAGTAGAGCATGAGATTTTAAATCTCAGGGTCGCAGGTTTGAGCGCCATGCTGGGGAAAAGATTCCTGCATTGTAAGGGGTTGGACTAGAATGGCGGTCATGGTCCCTTCCAATGCTATGATTCTTTGAATGTGCATTGCATGCTCTGAGAATCACCTGTGGCCCCTCGACGGCATGCACCACCACTGGGAGAGCGCACATGGCAGCAGTTCCCAACATATGCATGCAGCAGAATGGGTGTGTGAAATCTTCAAAAAGTGCACTGGGTCTTCCATAAGGGCAGGGCTGGGGCAACATTGGAAACGGCCCTAAGCAGCATTATTCTTTAAAGTCACTTTAATGAATAAGATTGATTTCCAGGGCTTTTGTACTTTACGGGGAATGAACGAAATCTCTTAAGCCCTTATTTTTGGCATGGAGCAGTTTAGAGACTGTGCAGCTGATGACAATAGGGGGAAAAAGAACTATGGTAAAGTTCAAGAAGCCTTTGTTCTTGGAATTGCTGTTGGTCAGCAGGAATCTTGAACGAAAGGGAAGCAGCGAGGGGAGCAATTTGGTAATGTTTACAGGCTCTGTGTAGTCTCTGCGGAATGATTTGATGGATTTCAGGTGGTTGGGTTTTTTTAAAGCAAACAAACTCACAGCCCATCATCTTGTGTGTGTGTGTGTGTGTGTATGTCTTTCCCCACCCCAGGTGAAGAGTGAAGGCCCGAAACTTGTCCCCTTCTTCAAAGCCACTTGCGTCTATTTCGTCCTCTGGCTGCCCACCTCCAGCCCCTCCTGGTTCAGTGCCCTCATCAAGTGTCTGCCCATCTTCTGCTTATGGGTTTTCCTGCTGGCGCACGGAATCAATTTCCTGACGGCCCATCGCAGCGCCTGCAGAATCCTGGCCGGTTTGATATTCTCATCCATAGGAGATGCTTTCCTCATCTGGCAAGAGCAAGGCTACTTCGTTCACGGTCAGTGGGGGATCAGGGTGTGGGCCTGGGCAACTAAGCTTCTGGAGCACGTGTCATGTACTGTCAATGATGAAGCGTGGAAGTAATACAGATGTCTGCCCATGTGTGCTCCTGCACTGGAGCTTTAGCACATAACTGGAAATGCAGGAATCAGCACCAGAAAAGTCTGTCATTTCTCTTGTTGGGGTTAGGTGGCTGAAGTAATATAGCCATGATCTTCATACACTATGAGGCAAATTTACACATCTTTGCTGGTGCAACCCAGTCAGATGGGTGGGGAAATGATAATAATAATAATAATAATAAGAAGAAGAAGAAGAAGAAGAAGAAGAAGAAGAAGTTTTAAAAAGATATTTTAACACACATATAGGGCTGGCTGGCTATCGGTCTATATTTCAATACCTTAGTGTACAATAATTATTTCTTTTCATGAATATTATTAATATGCTGATTTAAATTTCTCTCCTGCCCTTCCTCTCAAAGGAGCCCAGGATGGCAAACACCAAAATATAAACACAAAGCAAATAAAAATAAAATAAAAACACATGTAGAATGTTTAAAACCATCTAAAAACATTAAGAACATCTAAAAATATTAGCACACCCTCACAGCTAATTATTTCAAGGTTGCTAGGATCAGCATCTTTTAGCTATCAAATGCCTGGAATGTTTTAATTTCCCCCTGAATGTTGTTAATGAGGTGACAGATGCACCTCATCAGGAAGCGCATTGCACAAATGGCAAGCCACCACCGAGAAGGCCCTGTCATGGGTCAATATGTTCCACACTTCTTAGACATCACTTTTAGCCTGTTTTATTTGATTCTCTCATGCAACCCATTACTCTTAATAATGGCAACATGCCTTAGGCTGAGCAATAGTTTAAAGAAGGTCATACAACAGATTTACAAATCTACAAACGGTGTGCATGGAGGGCCAGTCTAGACACTGCTCAAGTTCCAGGGCAGCCCCTAAAAATGACATTCCTCAGCTCTCGTTCTCACCCTCTCCTTATACTGTCTAATACAAGTCATTGCCGATGCAGCATAATCACAGTGAGTTTTGCCACATGCTCTGGTGCTGGAGGGGAATTTGTGTGTTTATTACAATTAAATACCCTATTTTCTCCAGGAAGCTCAAGGTGCTATGCTTGATTCCCCTTCCCATTCTGTTCTCACCTCTGTGAGGTAGGTGAAGCTGAGAGATGGTGACGGGGTCACCCTGTGAGTTTCGTGACTTAGTGAGGATTTGAACCTGGTTCTTCCCAGTCCTAGTCCAACATTCTAATCACTAAACCAGGAAATTCTTAGTCTGGCGATAATCTCTGGTGAGTTTCACTAGAGATTATGGGGGAGAGAAGAAGAGCTACAAAGAAGTAGATTATCTCATTCTGTCCAGAGACAACAGCGGTGATGATGGTCCAATCATACTATATTTTTTAAAATCAAAGCCATTGCCTGCCTCCAGCCTAGTGTATAAACCAATGCCTCTAAATCTAGATTAGCACATTTAGCTTTCTGCAAATGGAGGAACCACACCTTTAAAAGCAGCATTAGTGAAACTTGGACAGTGTGGATGTATTGGACGGGGGAGAAATTTATTGCCAGAAAAATCAAAAAGCCACATAGGTTCCTTTGTGCCCCTGAAGAAGCAGGAGCTACCTTCTGTCTGACTCCACCTTCTCTCTTGCTGGAGCCCTGATGTTTCCTCCTGCAATCTTCCTTTGAAAGGAGATGGATTGTGACATGTAGCCTGAGGCACAGCATGATTCAGAGAACAAGGGAAGGAGATCCTTTCTGTACTCTTGACAGAGGCACACTTCTTCACCTTGTAGGCAGAGGAGCGAGATGAGATAAGCAGGTGGTCTTTGGGGCTTTGGCTGCCGTAGATGTGCTGACACAGAGCACAGGGTTGACTGTCATGGGAAGAGAGAGTGGTTTGGCAAGCTGTGCCGAGGCTGGGAAGGGAGCACAAGTCCTAAGAAGTCACATTCTGCTGTCTAAGGGGAGCCATCATCTGTGGCTTAATTTGCAGAGGGAAGAAATCTTCCTGCCAATTAAGCCTTTCCGCTTTTTTTTAAAAAAAGGTATATGGCCTTGTGTCAATGCTTTGGGCATTTATTTCACCTGCCCCTTAGTTTTCTGTAAAACAGTTCTCTCTGACCTGATGATCTTAAAATGACTTGCAGATAGCTGCTGCTGCAGAAGCAGCTCACACCAGAAAATGTAGGGAGAGCAGATGGCCTTTTCCTGTCAGAAGTGAAAGCTTTTTCACCCTGAACGTAGTCTCCCAGAAAGTCTATCCGTTGCTTGTCTCCATGTATGCCAGTGTTGGCATTCATTCACATTTTGTCTCTCCCCACCTTTCTGTAGGTTTGCTGATGTTTGCCATCACGCACATCTTGTATTCTTCCGCATTTGGGATGAAGCCTCTAGATCTGAAAGCTGGCCTGGTGATGACTTTGGTGACCAGTTTCTCCTACACTTTCCTGTACTCCTACCTCTCGGGCCCCTTCACCTACCTAGTAGCCGTCTACACTGCCTTGATTGGCTTCATGGGCTGGCGGGCCATGGCCGGCGTGCAGCTGTGCAACGACCTGTGGACTTGGACCAAGCTCTCGGCTTGCATTGGCTCGGTGCTCTTCATGGTGTCCGACCTGACCATTGCCGTCAACAAGTTCTGCTTCCCTGTGCCCTACTCGCGGGTCATCATCATGGCCACGTACTATGCAGCTCAGATGCTCATTGCACTTTCTGCGGTGGAAAGCAGGGAGGAAGACATCTTCAGGAAAAGGAAGTAGACGGGGGTGCCTGTAGGCGCTCAAACTCTGCTGGGAGTGCTGTAACTGCAATTCATCCCGGAGGAGAGTTTTGACTCTAGGTGAACCGGGGATTGCAGATCTTGCTTCATCGAAGCATTACCTTTAGTGTTTAGCTGGCTCTTCTCCAGTCCAGTTTGCCGGAGCCTAGAAGCCACACTGGAAGTTTAGTTCACACAGAACCAACTATCTGACCTTTTCCTCTCTCTCTCTCTCTCTCTCTCTCTCTCTCTCTCTCTTTGCATCTTGGAAGTTTCGTGGGAGGGAGGGCCTCTCTAACTACTTCATTGTGTTTGTATAATACTGAGGCTGAGGCTGAACATTCCAGAAGGAGAAGATTCGTTTCAGGACGACGTTTCAAAAGAAGGAAAGGGTAGGCAGTGCATTGGCGTTTAAGAGCCTTGCCTTCAACACTCTGAATGTGCAAAAGTCATGTGAAAATGACCCTTGGTGCTGCCTGACCAAGCCCCGTTTTGCGTGCATTGCAGTACAACTGTGAAACAATTGTGTGTCTACACAAGGAACCCCCAGGGCCCAAACGCTACAACAGGACATGGGAGCACTTTGTGGGAGTTTATGTCGGCCGTAAAGCTTGGGCTGCCCCTGGGAGAAACCAGTCTGACGTCCAGATTCGTTACAACCATTTTATTTATGGGCCATTCAAAGCCTTTCTTCTGAATGTGAATCCTGCAGGGCCCATGTTGTTCTGCAGGCTTAAAAGCAACAACAAAATGCAACAGTTTTCTCAGGCGCGGGTGGGCGGGAACATGGGAAATGAAAAGATTGCTGTACATGTGCGTGTGAAACGCAGTTAACGGTATATGGTTCGTCAGTTTTTCTAGCAATTTCTAGCTTGCATAATCTCAGATTAGAGCACCAAACAGGAGAACATTGTGAGCGCTCTCAAAATCTAACTCACCAGCTGCTTCTTTGGCTGAATATTTTGGCCAAGGAAACCACCGGCTCATCAGACCTGCTGTCATAGCTACACGACGGGTCTGGGAGGAAAGACTTGGATTAGTGACGATGCGTGGAGCCAGCTTCTCCTCCCAGCCTCCACTCCAGAGTCCAGACAAAATCCCATGTATTGAAAGAGGAAGAATCAGCAGGGTTATATCCTGCGCATGCAGGTGGTCTGGTCACTGTGAACAAGCGCTGTGTGGCGGATCCCTGACAGGCATTAGCAAGTCATTGTTTCTATACAGTGGACTATCAGGGAACAATATTTATTTGAAACTAAGCCAATGGGCTTCCGTGTATTTGCGCATGTGTAATGTGCCTGTTTCCGTGTACATGTTGCACAATAAGAATTGTGTTACTTTCCCACCAACTGTCACCAGGACTGTAGAATCTGCAGGTGCCTTCAGACCAACAGCTGCAGTTGCGGGTCTTGCCGAGAGGTACAGCCTATCACCAAAGTGCTGAGAGACTAATCAATGCGCCACTCTCCTCTCATCCATCTTCACTGGACAGCACTGAGTCACTGTAGATCCAATTGGCAGGGAAGTGCAGTGGGGAAAAGTTATGTGTCAGCAGCTTCCTTGCTGTTTTGTTTCGGTGTCAAGTTGCAAAATGGGTTAGCTTGGCCTGCACTGCAGCGATTGGTGTGAAGACCCCTGGTTGTGTGTGCCCACCTAATTATTTGTGGGGACTTTGAGGGAAACAACATACTTACTGACCGCAATGTATTTTTCTTCGTACAAGCTAGTAAGTGGAGGTCATGGGTAGAGCAATCCTGCAGAGGTTGGAGGAGGGAGAATCTGTGTCAAAGGAGCCACCACTTTCAAAGCCCTGCTGGGTTCTTACCTATATTCTTTTTCCTGGCCCATTTCCTTTTCTCCTGTGAAGAGGGAGGTTTGCAGCCTCTCAGCTGCCTTTCCCGGGAGCTTAAGTGCTGATTTACTTTGAGTCTTTACAGTTAGAACATACAGCATTCCTTTAGGTTCCCTCTACTGTGTTCTTTCAGTAGAATTCTGCCCTTGCTTGCAAAATTACCGTACCTGTTCAGATAAGTACCTTTCCCCTTACTTTGCTTATCTGTGTTGTTGTTGTTTTTTTAAAAAAAACACTATGAAAAGAGCATCCTTAGTCATTCTTAAACAGTGGCATCTTGCCAGAGGTGTACCACATATTCGAGATAGATTGCACACACCTACACCCGCTTAATATCCCAAGATAAAACTTCCACACAGACATTCTGTCATTCAGAAATGAACTACAGCGTATGCTGTTCCTCAGAGTCTAGCTCTGGGGTGCTCTCTCAATTCCCATAATCCCACTGTGTCAGGCACTTCAATTCCTACAATTGCTGGAGAAAGGGCCATAGCTCTGTGGTATCAGACTTAATCCCTGACACATCTTCAGGTGGGGCTAGGAAGGACCCTTGTTTGAAACCCTGGAGAGAGCTCCTCTTCCTTGTCAGTGCAGACAATGCTGAGCTGGATGGGCAAACTGGTCTGACTCAAGATGAGGCCTCTTCCTCTGCTCCTGTGGCTGACATCTTGTAATGGGCATTTCCTTATTACAAGCATTATTATTACAAAGTGATAATTATTACAAAGTACCTACCTTTCCCCAGGGATACTTCCAACATGTTGAATTGTTTGCTACTGGCTCAGTCATTAAGGTAGAAGCTGCTCATGTGACTTTCTGTAATAGTCAATTCTGGCAACATCCAATCAGTGGGGGAAATTCTGTGTTACAAAAATATTGTTGGTCTTATAGCACTGAAACCATTGTGGCTTCTCCCAACGAATGCCACGTTCACCATATGTTGTGTAATCTTATACACCTTTATCATGTGTCTCCCCCACCACTCCCTTATTCGCCTAAAAAGCCCCAAATGTTGCATCCTTTCCTTACAGAGGAGTTGCTCCAACTCTTTGATCCTTTTGGTTGCCCCTTTCTGAACCTTCTTCAGCACTCCGGTGAGGTGAGGTGAGCAGAAATGTACACAGGGGGTTTGGGGTCCCATGAATCAACATACCCACAGAATCCCCACTTTGCAGTCCAGAAGCGGAAGCAGAAGCAGCAAAACAATGCTGGCAGGGCAGTTACACCTGCAGAGCCCCAGTGGAGAGAGTCCTGCCCTCTGGACGACCCTCCCAGGGAGCAGAATGGCAGCTGGGCTGCTACTTATGGCGCCTCAGCCAACCGAATGCTGGCTGTATGCCAGCTGTTGGATTGCACCCTGCGCTGATTACATCTAGGATTTAGTTGATTAAGTTTTATGTGTGGATGCAGGCTAACACGTGGAATATTTTGTTTTAGGGCAGCATGTTGGGGCAAGTTTCATCGGGAGGCTACTTTGCAATGTTGTACATATTATAAAACCGTAACTCTGTTCATGGGAGGATGATGATGATGATGACGTACCTGACCCAAGGAGGATTACTTGGCTGACCAATTGTTTTCCATTTGGAATTGGGGTTCTGCTGTCTGAGCCTGGTAAGGCACATAGTTTGAATTAACTTTTTCATATATGGCCTATGAATTTTGGCTTCCCTTGTGCTATTTATGTGAACAGCTACTTATTGTTAAGGCAGATATGAAAGAGGAGGAGAGCATTTGAAATGTGAATGAGTATTCTGACCAAATGCAGGAATTGCTTTTATGAATGAAACAAGGGGAACTTTATGCCACCTGCGTGAATAAAACATCTGGGTAGGCAATTTGAGTCTGATGCATTCTCCACAATGAGATGCTGTCTTGAGCTCTATCTGTTGGTCGTCTGGAATCCACTATGCCTCTCTTCAATTCAGCACCATGCTTATTTTATGTAACTTAGAGTCATAGAGTTGGAAGGGACCACAAGGGTCATCTAGTCCAACCCCCTGCAATACGGGAATCTTTTTGCCCAACGTGAGGCCCAAACCCACAACCCTGATGTTAAGAGACTCATGTTCTACCGGTTGAGCTATCCAAGTGGGCATGGCATAGTATGTGGAGACTTCCAGAAGTAACAAATGGAAGACATAAAGTTAAAAGAATTCCTCTTAGCAGTATGAGTAACAGCGATCCTCTGAGAGCCAGTGTGGTGTAGTGGTTAAGAGCGGTAGTCTCGTAATCTGGTGAACCGGGTTCGCGTCTCCGCTCCTCCACATGCAGCTGCTGGGTGACCTTGGGCCACTCACACTTCTTTGAAGTCTCTCAGCCCCACTCACCTCACAGAGTGTTTGTTGTGGGGAGGAAGGGAAAGGAGAATGGTAGCCGCTTTGAGACTCCTGAAGGGGAGTGAAAGGCGGGATATCAAATCCAAACTCTTCTTCTTCTTCCTTAATCCACAGGACTCGAGAGACAGTGGCTTGTTTCAGACTGGCTCTGAAACCACAGAGGCAAGAAAGAAGATTCTGAGCGTAGACACTCTGCTTTGCTCCCGCCCCATGTGCTGCTACATTCTGATGAAGGACCCCAAGGAACACAGGGTCTTTCCAGAGTGAGGCATTGTGGGAAAGGTGCCTTTGAAAAGGGCCTGCACCACTACTGCTTTGTTGCAGCATCCAGTTTTAGACTTGAGCAGTATACTACTTTTAAGCTTTAGACAATATCTGCTGTGGCAAAGGAGCTGCAGCAGGGCTAGCCTGCCCATCAGCCTCAGCGAGGCAGCCACCTCAGGTGGCAAGCTGGGAACAGCTGGGAGGCCCCCAGGGAGCATGCCACCTGCTGCCTACACTTCTTGTCTGTGGCTGCCGCCTGGGAAGAGGGGGGCCACTGTTGCTGCCACCTGCTCCTCTCCAACCTCCTTTAGTCTTTCTTCTGCCTTCAGTGCACCAAGGCTTCCCTGAGGCGGCAGGGGTTGCAGGTGGCAGAGGAGATGGGAGGCGCCATTTTCTATTTTGCCTCAAGCGACAAAATGTCTTGGGCTGACAATCCCCCAAACCTTGAATGCCTTGAGCTAAGGAAGGCGGCTTCTGCAGAGTGAGGCATTCTAGCATGGGCAACACTGGAGGAGCAGCACTGAGCATTTTGCTGAAGCAACCGAGTGGCAGGGGCACTTCAAGCGGACAAAGCAGGAGGGTGGGCAGGTGGGCAAGAGTGCACAATTCCCTCACCCATCACGTTTTGCCACCTGAGGCAGAAGTCTCAGAGTGGCTAACTGGTGGAGCGGCCCTGTGAGGAAGGCTCTTGAGACAAGGGATGGCTGGAAAGTTCTCAGCCTCATTCCATTCCATTCTATTTAGGCTGAGGACTTTTCAGGGTGCCCATTGTAAATGGGCAACCAATGAGCCTTAAAGTCATTGTTATCGCTGGCTAGCGCCATCCGCTTCTTTATCCAGACGCTAAGCAGATTTCATACCCGTCGCTTTCCTTGCATTCACTGGTGAAGAGGCTTTTCCTCCCCTTAGAGCAGCCAGACACCCTTACCTTTACTTTGATGGGTGTCTTTTGTTTAGAGAAGAACCAGAATAGAACAGATGGCCTCTTTTTCCCCCTTCATTTCAGGACACCACAATTTCACAGGCCTTGAAAAGTGCCTCCACCACCTCCTCTTCACAGTCTGAGATGGCAGCCAGAAAGGATCCTTGTGATAGATAGCTATCTACAATATAGGTGTGTGTGTATGCCATATATATACAGTGGTACCTCAGGTTACAAACTCCTTGGGTTACAGACGCTTCAGGTTAGACTCCGCTATCCCACAAGTAGTACCTCGGGTTAAGAACTTTACCTCAGGATGAGGTAAAGGTGCGGTGGCAGCGGGAGGCCCCATTAGCTAAAGTGGTACCTCAGGTTAAAAACAGTTTCAGGTTAAGAACGGACCTCTGGAACTAATTAAGTTTGTAACCAGAGGTACCATTGTACACACATGTTGGCTTTAAATAGTCACTGTGTATATATAAATGCTGCCTCCAGTCTTTAGGAATGTCCTGCTGCTGTTAAGACCACAATCAGAAAGAATTTGTTTTATTTCTGTTTGTATTTATGATTGTTTACATTCCTTGAAGCACTGGTTAAAAAGAAAGAAAGAAAAGAAAGCAAGCCTGGGAAGAAATAATGGTAAAACAGGAAAACATGGATAGCATTTTTAGGTATGCTACATTAAAATGGGATACAGAACGATATGTGCAGAAAACTTAAATGTATTCTTATTGGAAACAGCTGCTCTTGAGTCCTAGAGCTAGAGGAGGCATTGGAGATCACATGTCCAAAGTCCGCTTCAGGGGCCTAATTCGGCCCGCTGGCCGGTTTAATCCCCTGTGGCAGTTTATTTCCTGGGGTAAAATCCTAAAAAAAAACCTCAACAACTTTGGTTTGCCCTTTGGTTGGCCCTTCACTTCATCAAATCTGGCCCTCTTTGAAAAAAGTTTGGACACCACTGATTGCAGGATCTGCAGGGCAGGGCACAATTACAGTGTCACTGACAGATGGCTATTCAGATTCTGGATACTTAAATACTCCTCCCAAGCTAGATTGTTCCATTCTTAAGCAGCTCTTACCATTAAGCTTCTCCTAATATTTCCTACAATCTGCTATAAGTCTAGACAGGCATTTGCAATGCATTATATTTCATTAAATTAAAAATTAAAAAATATATGCAGAATATTAAAAAATGTACCGAACTTTTAATTAGAGAAAGGATATGTCTAGGAGCAGAATTATATTTTTTGTGATGTTATAACTCCTGTGACTTTACTATCTGTTGAATTTTTGCCTGTTGTGTTGCTATCAAAAGGCACCAGGAGCCCTGAGAGGGCAGAAAAAAGGGAGTGATCCAAAAAACCAACATCAAAACACTTGGGGAAACTTTGGCAGTGGTACTGGGAAGCTCTGGTGGTCTTGAAAGATCTGGTTTAAAATAACACAGGAAGTATAATCTCTTGCCTTTAATGCCGTTGCATAATATTATCAGCGTTTCATTCATGAGGGAAATTGTGTCTGTTTAGGGTGAAAGAGCAGTAAGGGGATTTAATCAGTTGGCATCTTCATTCATTCAGCCTGCTTAACTTCTAGCTCCACCATGAACCTGCTGCCCTAGAGAATCGCAGGGTGTGACCTGCAATTCTGTGCCTGCACTTTTTGCAAACTTTCCCCTACTTTGCAAAATCTAGTTTGGAAGATATATTAACATGTGCTGTTTTGCAGGGTAGGAAGGGATGTAGGAAGATCACTAAAACATTATTTTTTAATAATTTAAAAAAGTTTTTATTAGTTTTCAATTACAGTCCAATAACAGCCTCATTATAACAATAGTGATTTATAATACAATTATTCATACCAATCATTCAAATATGTACTGAATTATGTAATTTAGTTAATGTGGCCCCCCGCATGCTAGATTTGATGGTTTGATGGTTTTCTGTATTTCTGCGTTCCAAAATCATCTTAGTTTCAATTGCATTCCTGTCATAATAATAATCCCTTATACAACAACTGCAATATTAGTGACCTATCTGCGTCGACACATTAAATGATTTATAAAACTGCAAGTGAGGAACTCAAACTATATCCTTGTTCTTCTGTGGCAATCATTCTGTCTATGGTGTTTCTTCTTGTCCTTGTAAGATGTCTTTCTTTCCCCCAATTGTTGCTGTTATCCGTCATGCCTTGGGCAGAGCTGATATCCCATTGTTGTTCCAGAAATTTCTGCATCGCTTCGTCCCGCGCTTTGTTGTTTTGCATCCAGAACTTTAACAACAGCTGCAGAAGTCGCTTTGTCTCAGTAAATAAACTGTTGTCACCATTTTATTTCTCAACCTGGGAAGAAGAGTGGTCTGTCGAACTGCAGATGACTCAGTAAAGAACCTTATCAGTTCCTTGGCAGTTCACAGACTCCTTTCATCCTTCCTTCCAGCTGAAGATATACTACTAATTAAATTAAATTCCAAGTCCTCTTAGCGTTATTCCGCTTACTTCGTAAATAATAAAGGATGGGGAAGAGTCAGATCTAACCATTCATCATAAACCTTTTGCAAAATACAGCTTCCCTCCCTTTTTCCTTTTTTTACACACACAGTTCCGTTTGATGTTATATTCCATATTTATAATCCTATTTCTTCTATACTTGCTTGTACAAATATAATTTGAACTAACAGAGGAGGGCTGACGAATCGTAAATGTAGAGAAGAAAACTTTAAATAAAGAAGCCGTAGGCTCCCCTCCCCCGTCTTTTGCACCAAATGAAATCTTATCTCAAGTTCAAACCTCAAAGTCCTTGCAGTTGGTTTGTTCCGCAGTTTACAATCTCATCTCTTCTAGGATGTGGTTGTACTTTAGTTCAATTAAGCATTAACAGGAAAACCTCCGCTTCTTAATGGCAGCGTAGGAGGGTTTTTGCCAGGTGAAGTGTTTTTGCACTCAACACCTCCCTGTCTCCCACATTCCATGCTGGAGCGAGAGCCAGGTACTGAGACAAACTGCGAGTGAAGCCCATTCCTCCCGTCCCTCAGGGGAATTTGCAAGGATGATTTATCCTCTATCATCCTTGTATTTCCTTTGCCAATGATCTCCCGATGTCGTGGGGGCTGCCTATATTAAGGCAGAGTTGAACCAAAATCACATTATTTTAAAATTATTTGGAATATAGTATTATTTCTTCTTCACTGAATAGTATTATTTCTTCTTCTCTGAACAGAGTTCAGAAAAGCAATTTGCTGCTAGCAGATGGTGAGTTCAAATGGGTTGGCTCTGAGTATTGTACAATTACACTTTCCCTTTTGTGCACAGATATATGTTTCCTTGATTGTTTCTTGTTTTGTGTTTTCATTTTGTTTGTATCATGGAGGGATACTGGGGAGAAAGTGAGCAAGATAGTGCTTTGTTTGTACCCTGGTCATTAGGGAAGAACCAATTTAATGAGAAGCATTACCATCATCCATTTTCAGATTGTGGCAATTTAATTTGGCAGTAGTGGTATCATGGCTCTCTTAAAAGTATAGGCAGTCTTGATAAATGTGCTTGTCAGTTGCTTTTGGGTAAAAGAGTTAGTTACCTTTTTGTTTTTAAGGTATTTTTTTAGAAGAAAGCAATCCTCAATAAAAGATTTGTTTTTGTGCATTACTCTATGTCCAGAACCCTCTCTATGGTTCCCAACCTCCTTTGAGGTAGATTAGTTTCTTGCATCTTTACAGATATTGTTATGCATAGCTTGCCTGTTTTAGCATATATATATATATATATATATATATATATATATATACACACACATACACACACACACACACACACACACACACACACACACAGTGGCGTAGCGTGGGGGGTGCAGGGGGGCCGACCGCACCGGGCGCAACATCTGGGGGTTAGGGGGCGCAAATCCACGGGTTAGGGGGCGCAAATTACTTGCCCTGCCCCGGGTGCTGACAACCCACGCTACGCCACTGTGTGTGTGTGTGTACACACACACACACACACACACACACACATCAGACTGTTAGGAGTTTAAGATGAGGTAGGCAATCATTTCTGGCTATTCAGCCATTGTCGTGGAGTTGAAATAAACATGAGAAAAAAGTTCTCAGGCAAAAATCCCCAAGCTCTATTTAGTTGATGGAATTTGAAGCCCTCCCCCCAAGATTACTATTTAATGACAGTCTTGGATTTGGGATTCAAGGAGAAATCTGGTGGGAAGACAGTCGCTCACTAACACCTTTTTGTCTTACGATTCAATTGTCAGAAATTAACATTCCACAAACTTGTTTCTGCTTGCAAAACACCCTTTTGGATTGAATCCTAATATGTTCAAAAGGGTGGGCTGGGTAGGTGAGGAAAGGAATGTGTGTGTTTGTGTGCTGTGCACCAGACATTGCTTGTCCTGTGTTTAGGCTGTGCAGGAAACTACTTCCAGGCATGCTTTCCATTCCCCTTCCTCATCAACAAAACGATTAGAACAGGCAGAGCTGAGACTCTTCAGCATCATTGATGCTTTCCCCCATCTGAACGTATATAACCTCATCCTGGAGACACAAATCTCTCAGCTTAAGATCTGTTTTTACTGTTATTGGTAGGTTAGGAAGTGAATGTGGGGTGGTGGGTGCATGTCAGCTGAAGAAATCATGCCTTAAAAATGTAGATATTTTTAAACCCTCAGGAAAGAAGCAGGTTTCTCTCCTCTTTCATTACTCCTCCTGCCATTTACATGAGCGCTGTTGGGCTCTTAAGTGGTTATGTGTCCTGGGCATCATGGCCATTTGTAAAGTGACCGCTGGCATCTAAGGAGAAAGAGAATTATCTCCATTGTGGAAAGGCACAATGTGAAAAGTGTGCTCAGATCTAGGGTGATCTAATCTCTAGAATGATCAGATCTAATCTTCATTGCCTGAAATCTCCAAAGCTGGCTTTTATTGCTGCTGTTGGCTTGGGCTCTAGTTTGCCTCTGTCTAGTTCCAGCCTTACTGCAGACATTGTGACATCACCCAGCCCTACTCTAGTTGTACACAATGACTTCTGTGTTCCCTGGAGCATGAGAAGACACATTTAGCTGGTTTGATGGGGCTTGAATATTGCAATGGGAATGGGAATGTGCAGATTTGTACCAACATTTGCACTTGTTAGGCGTGGGGAAGGCTGCTTCTGCTCATTGATTACTGTGACTGGAGTGCCGCTTCAGAAAACTTCATTCATGCCTTTAAAGTTAAAGGAACTGTAGTGGCTTGCATCAGTGGAAGACCTGGGTTCTGCCCCCTTTCCTCGGTTAGCAAACAC